AAGCCCCCTAGGTAGCCTCCCGGGGTAGCTACAGCCACCTTTCCCGCAGCTTGGCCTCCCAGCGATATGTTACGTGGAAGCACATCCAAGGCCACACTCTGCCAAACACACCGCCTTTATTAGCAAGCCAGCACGAGAAAGGAGCCACACAAGAACTTCACGTGCTCTGTCTTCAGGACTCCAACAAGCACCTCTTGGAAAAGGTTGGGTTGGAGAAGGGCTCTGTGGCAGTGTGATGGCAGAGACAGGCCATACGGGACGCTCCACGGAGCACAGGGACTCGGCCCTGATGGCGCTGGCCTCAAGCTCTACTCCTGAGTCGCTGGCAGCAGGGCCCAGACCCTCTCTGACCAACGACAGGTCTCGAACTTTACCCTGTTTCACCAATAAAAAGTTCTAAGAAGCATCTCTTATGCTAAGAGCAAACCCTAGAGTGTACATTTCAATTGCACCTGAAGTACATAAGCAACCACCTCTGGACAGTGGGTCCCTGACGTGGGAACTTCAAAACGCCAACCAAGCACCTGCGTGAGGATAGATTTATCTCACAAGGCCACATGTCACACTAGTAATACTCCAGGAGCATTTTTAGGTGTCACTACACAGGCAGTAACGTTACCCTCATTTTATTCACGAGAAAAATGGGAGGAGAAGGGGTTAGCCCTTTGGTAAAGTCACCCAGCTACCAAGTGGCAAACCCAGGATCTGACCTGGGTCCTGAATGCCTGGGACTAAGCTCTCACACTGATGTCAAAGAGGTATAGGAACTGGGGAAGACAGCTCTCACTCACTCACAGTGCCCCTAGCTCAGAGCACAAACTTGTCAAAGAGCCAAGGTCCTGCCCTCTCTTCTTAACAGAGTCTAAGTCTTCTACCTTCGCAGCAAAGCCTCCCCCAGGTGAGACCCGGCTCCTCCCCGGCTCCTCCTCCTTCACTGCTCACTCACCTCCCATGCAACACCTCATACCAGGCACTCTTCCCTGTATTTCACCATCAACATCCTTGCTGTGTGACCTTGGGCACTTAGTTAACTCCTCTGAGCCTCTCCTTCTCACCTGGAAATGGGACTATGACTGTACTTCCTGGGGCCCCTGTGAGGATTAAATGCAAGGGTGCAGAGAACAAGAGGGACGTGGCCCTGCTCTCAGGGGGCTCTGTGGGTGGGAGAGACCATTTCAGACTGCTGGTGTTCCTGTGGTTCTCTTCCATCCCGTGGGGTGACGAGCACTCCAGAGCAGAGGGCTGGAGGGCATGGCGATGGTGGGGCTGGCCAGGGTCTGGGAAGGCTGCTGGGAGGAAGTGAACTTCCACCTAAAGCAAGCAGAGAAGAGGAGGCGCGAACAAGGCGGGGAGGGAAAAGGATACTGGGCAGCAAGCACCATGGCCCACAGGCCTGGGGCTGGCCATCAGGAGAAAGGACGAGAAAGAAGTGGAGCCTGTAAGCCGAGGGCACTAATGCTGAGCTGAGCCCTGGGAGCCAAGGCCGCGGAGCCAGCGACGTGAGGTTTCTCTCTAAGGAAAACTCAGGAGGCAGCCTGCGAGACAACCCAGGGTGGGCAGAGTCCAGGGCATGTGAGGATGTGAGTCAGGAAGCTGGCACCAGAGACCAGGTCCTCAACTGGGAGGGCACTGGTGGTGCAGGGGCGAGGGCTGGGTTCCGGATTTGCTCCCAAGACAGGCTGAGGACAAGGAGAGAGGGGAGGGCAGACTGACTCTGGAGTTTCTGGTAAGGAAAACTAGGTGGTTAATCCAAAATAGGAATTGACCAGAAAGAGAAGATTTGGGACAGAGGGCAAAGAGTCAGCAAACGTAAAGAGTCAGCAAACGTATGCCTGGACCTATAAAGTTTGGGAAATTTCATAAATGTGACCAGATTACAGTAGTTCTGCAATCTTGTGACCAAAACCCTTGGGGAAATGCATTTCACAATTCAGAATTTGTGAATTTTAGAAAGGTAACAGTGTATTTGTTGCATATTACGTAACCCCTAGAAGGATCAGGGCAGCAATCTATAATCAAACACACTTAGAATTTTGCAGCAAAACACAAGAAGAGCCACCCTGGCGAGAACAGCAAAGTCTGTAAACAGCCTCATGGCACTTCCAGTCAAATTCTGCCTCCAAAATATAGTTCAGGACTTGGTACATTTTGCCAAAATTAAGTTACAGAAAACTTTGGTTTTCATATTCATAGCTTTTGGAGTTGAGAAAAGGCAGACAAAAGATTATAGACCTGTATTAACTTGTATTAAAACTTACAAATTAGGTGAGAGCATAAATAATAGACTGTTTTTAAGGAAAAGCATCTTTTCCATTTCGAAACGTACAGCTTGAATCAGGTTCAGCAAGTGCTGTTCAGCTTTGTGCCTGGAGGACTCACTCTCAGGAAAGGGACAGCGGGGCACCTAACTGGACAGAAGGGATTAATGCAGTACACAGAAAGCTAAGGGGCATGAGGGAGGGACGGTCAGGCTGCCCTTTAGCACTAGTTTCCCGAGCCGTCAGACACTTGATGAGAAGGAAGGAGAAGCCACGTGGGTGCGGGGCGAGCGCACACAGGGGCCGGGACTGAGCTAAGTTCCCCAGGCCCTGACCCACTTCACCCACAACCTCAACGGCAGGCATTACACTCCCCTATTTTTAATAGTTGAGGGAAAAAAAAAAACAGGTTTTTTAGAACT